AATCTTCCAACCCCTGTCTGCCAGGGTCTATGTTAATATACCAGATGGTAAATCCATGGATTTGTGGAAAATGGCCCATTTATAGATGATTTTCCCATTAAAACTTCCATTTATAAGGGATTTTCCATGGCTATGTTAGTCATAACCAGATGGTACCCCCTAGTAAACTAACATAGGCCATGAAAATCACTATTTTTTAAATGGACATGAATCTTCCAACCCCTGTCTGCCAGGGTCTATGTTAATATACCAGAAGGTAAATCCATGGATTTGTGGAAAATTGCCCATTTATAGATGATTTTCCCGTTAAAAGCTCCGTTTATAAGGGATTTTCCATGGCTATGTTAGCCATAACCAGATGGTACCCTCTAGTAAACTAACATAGGCACTGAAAATCACTATTTTTTAATGGACATGAATCTTCCAACCCCTGTCTGCCAGGGTCTATGTTAATATACCAGAGGGTAAATCCATGGATTTGTGGAAAATGGCCCATTTATAGATGATTTTCCCATTAAAACTTCCATTTATAAGGGATTTTCCATGGCTATGTTAGTCATAACCAGATGGTACCCCCTAGTAAACTAACATAGACCATGAAAATCACATTTTTTAATGGACAGAATTTCCAACCCACTGTTGCCAGGGTCGATGTTAAGAGAAAAGAGGGTAAACCATGGATTTTGTTGGAAAAATTGCCCATTTATAGATGATGTTCCCATTAAAACCTCCATTTATAAGGGATTTTCCATGGCTATGTTAGTCATAACCAGATGGTACCCCCTAGTAAACTAACATAGACCCTGAAAATCACAATTTTTTAATGGAAACGAATCTTCCAGCAACTGTCTGCCAGGGTCTATGTTAATATACCAGAGGGTCAATCCATGGATTTGTGGAAAATTGCCCATTTATAGATGATTTTCACATTAAAACCTCCATTTATAAGGGATTTTCCATGGCTATGTTAGTCATAACCAGATGGTACCCCCTAGTAAACTAACATAGACCATGAAAATCACTATTTTTTAATGGACATGAATCTTCCAACCCATGTCTGCCAGGGTCTATGTTAATATACCAGAAGGTAAATCCATGGATTTGTAGAAAATAGCACATTTATAGATGATTTTCCCGTTAAAAGCTCCGTTTATAAGGGATTTTCCATGGCTATGTTAGCCATAACCAGATGGTACCCTCTAGTAAACTAACATAGGCACTGAAAATCACCATTTTTTAATGGACATGAATCTTCCAACCCCTGTCTGCCAGGGTCTATGTTAATATACCAGAGGGTAAATCCATGGATTTGTAGAAAATGGCCCATTTATAGATGATTTTCCCATTAAAATTTCCATTTATAAGGGATTTTCCATGGCTATGTTAGTCATAACCAGATGGTACCCCCTTAGTAAACTAACATAGACCATGAAAATCACTATTTTTTAATGGACATGAATCTTCCAACCCCTGTCTGCCAGGGTCTATGTTAATATACCAGAGGGTAAATCCATGGATTTGTGGAAAATTGCCCATTTATAGATGATGTTCCCATTAAAACCTCCATTTATAAGGGATTTTCCATGGCTATGTTAGTCATAACCAGATGGTACCCCCTAGTAAACTAACATAGACCCTGAAAATCACTATTTTTTAATGGAAATGAATCTTCCAACCCCTGTCTGCCAGGGTCTATGTTAATATACCAGAGGGTAAATCCATGGATTTGTGGAAAATGGCCCATTTATAGATGATTTTCCCATTAAAACCTCTATTTATAAGGGATTTTCCATGGCTATGTTAGTCATAACCAGATGGTACCCCCTAGTAAACTAACATAGACCCTGAAAATCACTATTTTTTAATGGACATGAATCTTCCAGCACCTGTCTGCCAGGGTCTATGTTAATATACCAGAGGGTCAATCCATGGATTTGTGGAAAATTGCCATTTATAGATGATTTTCCCATTAAAACCTCCATTTATAAGGGATTTTCCATGGCTATGTTAGTCATAACCAGATGGTACCCCCCTAGTAAACTAACATAGACCCTGGAAATCAATATGTTTTAATGGACATGAATCTTCCAACCCCTGTCTGCCAGGGTCTATGTTAATATACCAGAGGGTCAATCCATGGATTTGTGGAAAATTGCACATTTATAGATGATTTTCCCATTAAAACCTCCATTTATAAGGGATTTTCCATGGCTATGCTAGTCATAACCAGATGGTACCCCCCTAGTAAACTAACATAGACCCTGAAAATCACTATTTTTTAATGGACATGAATCTTCCAACCCCTGTCTGCCAGGGTCTATGTTAATATACCAGAGGGTCAATCCATGGATTTGTGGAAAATTGCACATTTATAGATGATTTTCCCATTAAAACCTCCATTTATAAGGGGTTTTCCATGGCTATGTTAGTCATAACCAGATGGTACCCCCCTAGTAAATTAACATAGACCCTGAAAGACATGAATCTTCCAACCCTGTCTGCCAGGGTCTATGTTAATATACCAGAGGGTAAATCCATGGATTTGTGGAAAATGGCCCATTTATAGATGATTTTCCCATTAAAGCTTCCATTTATAAGGGATTTTCCATGGCTATGTTAGTCATAACCAGATGGTACCCCCTAGTAAATTAACCTAGACCCTGAAAATCACTATTTTTTAATGGACATGAATCTTCCAACCCCTGTCTGCCAGGGTCTATGTTAATATACCAGAGGGTAAATCCATGGATTTGTGGAAAATGGCCCATTTATAAACTAACATAGCAATGAAGACCTTTAGAGATTTTGTCTCAGATTCCGTTGGAGAATCAGGCAATTAACATAGACCTGCGTCAAAATGCTTCAAAAACCAAATTATCCTAACATGACTTTGTTCTGCACGGAACTGTGGTGTACTAACATAGCACATGTGTGGTGGTTGGTTCAAAAAGGTATCCTAACATAGGTTTTTGAGATGTTTGTTGTAAATGCTGTCAATGAAGACTTTTAGAGGTTTTGTCTAAGATTTCGTTGTAATTAAGAATATTAACATCGACCTGTGTCAAAATGCTTCAAAATGCTTCAAAAAACAAGTTATCCTAACATGACTTTGTTTTGCACATATTCGTTTTCTAGGGCTAAGTTTATTTAACCTAGAGTAATACATTATTACATACAAATCTCTGTATATATATAATATATATGTATATATGTATGTGTGTTTGGAGTTGTTTTTTTTCAAATTCTGTGGGCAAATCAAAAAACACGAACCTGAAATTCAGCAAGCAAAAATCCACCCTCAAAACAATCAGTTTGGTGATGCTCTCATATTGATTCAAATCATGGGTTCTGAAACATTTGACAAACTTGAAGCAAGTATCAACTTTGACTTCATACCAACCTTGCTTTCCTTGAACTTGGGCGTTTTCACCGACAAAGCAATGCATAGCTGTTGCACATGCGCCTCCGTCATGAACTCAAGCGAACCCCGCTCCAGAAAGTAACGGACCAAGGAAAGGTTGTAGCCATCGCGCATCAGCAGCAGTTGTCCGCTTTCATTTTGGTGAGGGAGGCCTGAGAGGTGTGGATTTAGAACCTGAACAAGCCGCTCTCTTTAGCTTACGCTAGAACACCCTTTCGACCATATGGGGATAACTTTTTGGTATGATACGAATGTATATGTATGAACTCCAAAGCTAGTGCAAAGCAAAATGAATAAATCTCTTGCAGGTACAGATTTTGTATGGCACGCCCTTGTATTCTTCATCAAACGCATCAGGCTTCGCCACATGTGCTAGATGCATGATTTTCACAGTGTCGCGCGCTTGAGAGATGGATAGTTGCCCAGGGCAGACAGCCCACAAATCTGTTTCCACTTCCTGAACTCGGAAAACTAATGTTCCGCAATGGTGGAAGCCCAGGGACAAAAACACATCGCCATTCAGCGTATCGGTGAAGAGACCAAACATTTGAAGAAGACAGCTGGCCCAAAGACCATCAAGGCCACGAAACTCCGAACGTGACAAGATTTTCAAAGCAGACAAACATACCACACTCTTGATGTCAGTCTCCTGTGACGCAGGTTTGTCTAAGGAGACCTTCGTGTTGATGGGCTTTTTCATGTCTGCAGGTGCACCAAGTAATCCTGCAAGCAAGGTGAGAAGCAGCACTGGATCATCCATGGCCTACTGAAAGCATGGCCTACTGACAGCATCAGAAACAAGGCAACATACCTTCAAATGCCACCTAATACCACCCTACACATGGAAACTCTGCAAAATATTCTGCAACAGCATTCCCTCATTCCGTATCCCAGTATCCCTCCTCGCGGCTTGATTCCAAGCTGTTCCATAGAAGCCAGGATTGTTTTTGAATCTGACTTGAACACCTTTGGGTGGGTCGAGAAGAGACGCGCACGATTTCGTTCAAGCGACAGCATGTCCCTCTCTTCAAAGTCAGCGGGTAAAACTTCGGCGAGTGGCCAGGACGTTGAATCCCACCTGATTTTCCGGGCTTGGTCGAATAGTGCACGTTCTGGGGCCATCGCTTTGAAAGGGTTTCGCTGCCCTCGTTTCACTGAATCTGTCAGTACTCCAATCATATCTTCAAGTGGTTCTTTGGTGCTGACTACCGAGTCAAACAAACGGTGAATGTGGCCATAGAGAGCATCCAAACTCCATTCGAAATGCTCGGCATGGCTCCAAAGCTCCTTTTTGCTGAGCAGTATCCCCCGCAATTCTTTATCATTAAAGGCTCCCGTCAGATATATACTGTGTTTCGATTGTGGACAAGGTGAAAACATTACAATAAATTACTTTACTTCGAGTGATATCCACCCTGGCATTTCAAGCCATATATTTTGACATTTTACCTAACATTCTATCTGACATCTATTCTGATATTCTATCTGGCATATCTTCCAGCATTTTATCTGGTATATATTTTGGCGTTCTATCTGGCATATGTTCTGACATTCTATGTGGCATTCTTTCTCGCATATATTTTGGCATTCTATGTGGCATTCTATGTGGCATATATTCTGGCAGTCTATCTGGCATATATTCTGGCAATCTTTCTGGCATTCCATCTGGCATTCCATCTGGCCGCTGAGGTCCAGCGGTGCCCACTGAGCTCTGAAGGTCCCAGGTTGAGGTCCAAGTGGTGCCCACTGGGCGGAAGGTCCCTGGCTGAGGTCCAGCGGTGCCCACTGCGCTCAGAACCTTGCGGGTGAGGTCCAGCCGTGCCCACTCAGATCGGAAGCCGGCAGTTGAGGTCCAGCAGTGCCCACTGCGCGCAGAAGTTGGCGAAGAGATTGGCGAAGAGTTGGCAAGGCGGAAGTGGACATGGAAGTGGATGCAGAGGTGGTGGAGGAGAAGGAGGAGGAGGAGAAGAAGGAGAAGGAGAAGGACGAGGAGGAGGAGGAGAACCACCGTGATGAAATCTAACAACCCTCACCTGGCAGGTGGGGAAATATACTTAACCAAATTCAATCAAAGCACCTGGAGCTAGCATCGCTGTCCACGGAAACCAGTGAACAAGTTGTGTCATCAAACTGGAAGTTGGCGCCACAACATCGGGAATGTTGTGCAAGACCACATCTGGACAGAGAGCACTGTCCAGTCTTGCAGGACGCTTGTGCGTTTTCGAACACACCTGTGCCAAGGTCTGCAATCACCACGCAGTGTGAAGGGAATGGTGAGAGCCATGAGGAATGATTTTAATAGTATACTAGGGAAAATCTTTCGGCTTTCAATTGGTGGATGTATGATAAAAAACAATTTGACCACGTGTGCTCAGACACAACCCAAGGGGGCGCTTTGTCAGCACTAGGGTACATGCGAAAGAATCTCCGTGACAGCGCAGCGTTCGATTTGTCTAGCCATGCAGTATATCTCCTGAACAGCCATTCTTCATCCACATCAATGGTCCACATCTACAAGATCCAACTGTTTGACGGGTGAAGTACCAAAAAACATTCACGGGTCATTTTTTCAGACAAACGACTTTTGAGTGCTGGTGAACACCGCGTTGTAGATCACCGTGCTGGACCGCAAAACTTCTGCAGTGTGAGGGATGAAAAAGGCTTTGACCCAGGGACACGCGCCATGGCCCCGCAGGTATTTAGCTTCGGCCATCACTTCAAACCCTCCTTGAGGGCCCATATATATATATATATAATGTATGAATGTATGAATCTGTGTGTGTGTGCGATGTGTGCGCGATGTATGTGTGTGTGTGTGTGCGATTGTGTGTATACGTATATGTTTCATCAATATATTCATGCAACATTTTCCGAATGCTATGGGATGCTCAATGGCCAGTAGCCAGCATCTGTTCAAAAGATCAGAAAACTACCCAGTAAAATATTATGTCACAACACCAACCTTTGTTTGCCCTAGAGACTTGCCCTTCCATGCGTTCGCATAGGGCCTGAGCCACCATCAAGAGAGGGCCTGTTGGGAACGAACCTGCAGGATGATGGGGTACAATTCAATAGGTACAACTTATTCGTTTTTACCCCTTTATAAGGGGTTACTTGCAAGGGTTACGACCTTGATTCTCTGATCTATCGATCTATCGATCTATCTATCTATCTATCTATCTGTCTGTCTAAGACTCGTTACAGGGAGTTGGGAATGGTGAGACCCTGGCAGAAGTCAAAAGTATTTTTGAATGTTTTGTTAACCACATGCCCAAGGTACTCGACACTTTTCACAGGGACACCATAGCTAGTGAGACACTATTCTATATATATATATATGTATACCGTGGAGGACCAGAAGTTAGAATACCAAAAAAAGATTAAAGTTTTAGAATATGGATTTATGTTAATTAATTTTTAACATAAATGAGCAGGGGTGGTTAGCACTTAGAATATTCAAATCCAGGGGGTACACATAGAATATTTTGGTAGTATGCTGTCTTAAGGAAAAACTAGCTACATCCGACCATATATCCCAATAATTCCCAATAAATATCATTACCTCCAAGCCTCCTCTCGCTCTCTCTCTCTCTCTCTATCCCCGTTCCTGTTTCTTTTGGGTTTCCCCATCAATCTATGGTACTCTACTGTGCTACCGCATGGGTACCTCAATGTATGGGTTCGCAAATCTCAATGGAAAACGAACAAAACCCAATACATCAACACAACAAGAACATGGTTTACAATAACAAACTCAACAGTAAACTTGTTGGTTCGGTACCTTCTTTGATGGACTATCAGTGACTATGTAGTTGTGGCCATATTCTAAGTGCATTTACTGCCCGTAAGCGCACAGTTATACAGGCAAAAGCAGCAAGTTCAAAACCGGTTGGTGCTGTACCATGCGTGTTTTGCTGCAGTACCAAAAACAACTGTAAACCATGAGGTACCGTACTGAGATTGATCGGCGATCATGAACTCAACAGTTGCATTTTGTTTATGTTTTGTTGGTATTGTACGCGGCTTGTCTTGCAGTAACAAACTCAACTATATATAAACTGTTCAGTTCTGTATCTTGCTTGATGGACAAAGTGACTCTGGCAGTTGTGTGCATATTCTAAGTGCATTTACTGCACAGAAACTCACACTTTTACACGAAAACAACTGCCAAACGGTTGGTACTCTACCGTGCGTGTTTTGCACTACCAGATGCAAGAACTGTAAACCATGCGGTGCTCTGCTGAAATTATTGTGCAAACATGAACTCAACTGTTTCATGATTTAGTACTGTACAGTGCTTGTTTTGCAACAAAGAACTCAACTATAAACTGTCCGGTTCTGTATCTTGTTTGATGGAATACGCGACTCTGGCAGTTGTGGCCATATTCTAACTGCATTCACTGTCCAGAAATGCACAGTTTTACACAAGCAAGAATAACAAATGCCAACCGGTTCGTACTGTACCATGCATGTGTGGCAGCACCAAATGCAACAACAGTAAACCATGTGGTGATGTACTGGGATTGTTTGCGATCATGACTCAACATTTGTAAACTTTGTAGTACTGTATCTTGCTTGTTTTGCAGTAACTAATTCAACTGTAAACTGTTCGGTTATGTACCTTTCTTGATGGACTATCAGTGACAATGCGGTTGTGACCATATTCTAAGTGCATTCACTGCCCATAAATGCACAATTTTACACCAACAAAAACAACAACTGCCAACCAGCTATTACTGTACCATGAGTGTGTTTCGCAGAACGAATTGCAACAACTGCAAGCCGATGTGGTGATGTACTGAGATTGTTTTGAGACAGCTGCATTTGTTTTGCAATTTACGTTTGTTTTGAAGGAATTAACGAACCCAAACCCAACTGTATGTTTCTGTTCTTTGTCTTGACTGATGTTCAAAGTGACTATGTTAGTTGTGATCATATTCTAAGTGCATCTGCTGCCCTTAAATTAAATGCAGTTATACAGGCAAACGGCAACTGCAAACGGGTTGGTAATGTACCATGCGGCGACCATACGTGTTTTGCAGTGACAAATGCAAAAAATGTAAACCATGTGGTGTTGTACTGAGGTAGTTTTGCAATTATTAACTCAGCAGTTGCAATTTGTTGGGAACTGTACCTTGCTTGCTTTGCAGTAACAAATTCAACTGTAAACTGCTTGGTTATGCACCTTCCTTGATGGACCAAGCGACTCTGGCAACTCTGACAATATTCTAAGTGCATTCACTGCCCATAAATGCACAGTTTTACACAAGCAAAAACACAACTGCCAACCAGCTGGTACTGTACCATGAGTGCGTTTTGCAGAACGAAATGCAGCAACTGCAAGTCTACGTGGTACTGTACTGAAATTGTGTTGCAATCATGAACTCAGCAGTTACAACTTTTGGGCACTGTACCTTGCTTGTTTTGTGCATTCACTACCCATACATGGACAGGCTTACACAAGCAAAAACAACAACTGCCAACCAGCTGGTACTGTACCATGCGTGTTTTGCAGTACCAGGTGCAAGAACTGTAAAGCATATGGTGCTCGGTGAAATTGTGTTGCAATTATGAATTCAACAGCTGCAAACTGTTTGACACTGTACCTTGCTTGCTTCGCAGTAAGGAACTCAACTGCAAACTGTTCGGTTATGTGCCTTCCTTGACCTTGACCATATTCTAAGTGCATTCACTGCCTGATTTTCAAAGTGACTATGCTAGTTGTGATCATATTCTAAGTGCATTTGCTGCCCATAAATT